CGCTGCGAGTCAAAATCCCACCCACTTCCGATCGGGCTACTGCTGCTCTTATCATTGCTTATCCAGGCTCTCACGACTCCCGTTCAAACCAAACCACGTTTCCGGGAAGCTTTTTCTTTGAGGTTTTCTTTTAGCACGTTCGTGACAAGATTTGGCGTCGTTATTGCTAGAGACAGCTTTCTCCGGCCACCGTAATGACCTGAGTATCATTTTGACTACTAAACCCTATAATTCCTATGAAAACCATTCCTACCAACCACATCCATTGTCGTGAATCGCCTTCGTCCAGGTGTTTAGACAGTTAAGTCCTTCTTGTAAGACCTCTAGTCGGTTCGCCTTCACGTAGGTGAGCTTTCCTTTGGGGGTGGTGTGCTGGGGGTCACATTGACGACGATCGCGCCTGATTGAGAATCACTCGAAAGAAGTAATCGGAGAAATACGGATCTATTCAAATCAATTACCGGGTTGAATGAGCATTGGAAGAATCAGGAGGAATCACACGACTCGGATAGATCAAATGTGGTTTTCGAAGCGGTCCTGGTCGTTCGAAGGCCGACGCAAACAAAGCTAATGCGCGCTCTGTGAGGCCGAATTTTCTGGCTTGAAACAAATGGTTCAAGATCGATGTTACTGACCTTGCCACTGATACTGGCAACTGCAACTAAAAGACAAGATGATATCATAAGAAAAGAGCGTTCACCCTTTCAATCACGTTGAGCGCAAAGTTCATAACTGCAGTCTGTTGTGTGCCAGTTACTTACGAGACCGCGTGTTCAGCGCTGCTGAGCAGCATCGTGTAATCACAATGTCGGGGGGCATTTCATGCTGGGCAGATCAGTATCAACAAGGAACACATGGAAATGCCTGGATAATGAAATTGGTCATGTTTTCATATTGGCTTTCTTCAGCAGATCGCGTAAAAAACTTGCGGGGCTCGCGTGAGCAAGGTGCTAGCTTCAGAATGTCTTTGAAACTAGCACCATTTGTACAATCGAAATGATACACGACATTCTCAGCGATGGGAATCAGAGGAGTTTGAATTCACTATGGAAGCTAAATGTGACTAAAAAGAACGATAACAAACAGGAGTGGATAGCCAAATAAAACACAAGAAGATACAAGAAGAAACTGTATCTGGAACTGATGGACATAAGAAGACAAAACAATCATGAGTTTTCTGAATGTTGTAGAGGCTCATGTGAGGAACACAGAACCATGGTCCATTTTTCCTGAACGCCCCAGGAATGTCAAAACAGCGGGGAAGAAATGGTCCAAAGTTCGATCCTCCGTGATGACAAATTTTTGCAATTTATGTTGGCGCCTCCAAATTGCCGCAAAACACGACAATGACATATTCTCGATGGCGCCATTTGGCGGCAATCTGGGGGCGCCAAACTATATTGCAAAAATTAGTCATCACCGGGGATCGAACTCTGGACCATTTCTTCACCACTGTTTTGACATTCCTGGAGGCGTTCAGGAAAAATGGATCATGGTTCTGTGTTCCTCGCATGAGCCCCTACAACATGCAGAAAACCATTTCGAAAAAGCGCTCCATGTCCTGAAAGACCTCCCTTGTTAATCGAACTTTTTTTTCAAAGCAGAAACTTTGAGGAACCCTCCCGACTCTCGGCAGAAACTTTGAGGAACCCTCCCGACTCTCGAAAACGTGGAACAGCATAGGCTTTTTTTGCTTTCATTCACACCGATTTTCACACGAATTGACTAGCCATCGCTCAACTAAAGAAATAAAAGTAAAGCTTGAGCAACCAAGAAATTAGAATACAGCTCACACTTAGGATTAAGTCCGGCGGCACGTAGTCCACCTAGGATCGTTTCCAGATGATCGACAATATCTTCTGGTCGGAACACATGGGCTGCTTCGGCCTAAATTAAGTGCCTCTGAGCAGTGTGAGTGAAACAAGTGAATCTGAAATCCAGCCAGTACCAGCAATTCACAAGTTTCGTGTTTTTGCTCAACAGTACACTCGTCATCAGTGAACTTCTCCTCGATGAGCATATAGCAGAAGGGACCGAAGTCCGGATGAGCTATCAAACATCGTAGACATCCCTGAGCCAATAGTTCCTGCGTGATTGGAACGTCACCCGAAGGCTGCAAAACATAAACTCTGCAAATATAGCCCTATGCAAAGGTAAAGTTGTGCAGATTAGACAAATACGTAACGTTATGATAAAATTCCTTATAGGGTGGTTAGCCCGCGATCAGGAAGAGAGGAGGCCAAACGAAGCCGGGATAACTAAACAAGTGGCCTGTAAAATTCGCACTGCAACGTCTCCCTCCTCCAACTTTCACTATACTCTAAAAGTATGTATGTACTATCTTCAAGAAGAGTGTTGGAATTCGATAACAACCCAGAGGGAAACGGGAAAGCTTTCGACAACATTCAGGAGATATGCCACAGTATCCCATTTTTGAGTGCCGCCTCAAAGGCGGAGTTCACGATAAGAAGTCAAGGTGGAGGTATTCAGTGGTGCAGGGATAAAAACAAACCCTTAGAAACGGCCCACAGCCCTAGAAATATGATCTCTTTTGCCCGTTGACATCCGCCTCGATGCGACACTCATCGGTG